GCGCGAAATTCCAAAACAAACAAACAAACTACGTACATGTAAACATTCTCTTCGTATCTGTTGTTTTTAACATTAGATGAATGTATTCAGATATCATTATTGTCTGTGTCTTATTTATCTTACTAATAAGTTGGCAAAGAGCGATTTATAAGCACATTATGAAGAAGACAAGGGGGATTATATGCTGCATATTTCAACAGAACATTGGTCATATAATCCACTTCATTATGTTAATAAATCGTTGTTTGCCAACTTATTATTATATTAGCATAACGTGCCTCTACACTCAAGTATCTATCTTAATTTTCGAAATGTAAACTTTTACAATTATGTTTAATAATGTTCTATAAAGACAAACATAGACCATAAGATGTTCTTCATAAGGAAAAAAAAAGATATAATTGGAGCTTTTAACATGAAACTGAGAGCTGGATTAATGTATCAGTATTACAAGATTATAGGATACACATAACTGACGTTTAATATTTAAGCACCTGGTGACAAGGGAGGGAAACTTTGCAACGTTATATTAATATAGTCGTTCAGAGTTGAGATGACGAGCAGAATGGTAAAATAAAAGTGGTGTAATTATAATACTCTATGTTTTTTGTAATATTTCCGGAGTGTGAGGCTTGTATAATTTTTACTCCACAAATAATTCCTTTTAATCAGTCCTTTGATAATTCAGTAAAACCATTTTAATGTAAAGTTTCTCCACATATTTCTGAAGTAGTAGTGATAATTAAGTCTTTTTTTTTCTTAAATTCGCAGTTTTGAAAATATTAAAAAAAAAGAAATTACGTTCATAAAGTTAAACAAATTCTAATTAATCGCAAGTACGAGAATTTGAAATATGTTGTAATCACACTGTGAGGAGCTGAAATATATTTATAATGACGCAGAGCTTTTAGAAAAACCTAGGACTGTAAAATGTTTTGTGTCAAGATATAGTTTAATTATGAAAAAAAACATCGACAAAAAGTAATATATTGATATAAATATACAATAACATGATGAAAAGAAAGGGAATATTTTGATTTAAATACACAACAAGTATGATGAAAACAAACGAAATACGTGATTAAAATATACATGACGAAGACAAAAGGAATGCCTGGAATTAGATTTGCAAAAAAACATGATGAAAACAAAATCGAAATACGCCTTGATTAAAATATACAAAAAGTTATTAAAGCAACAGAAATAAATTGGTTTGAATATACAGTAAATATGGTGAAAACAATAGGAATACTTTGAAATAGATATACGTTTGTTTGTTTTGAATTTCGCGCAAAACTACACGAGGACCATCTGCGCTAGCCTTCCCTAATTTAGCAGTGTAAGACTAGAGGGAAGGCAGTTAGTCATCACCACCCACCGCCAACTCTTGGGCTACTCTTTTACCAACGAATAGTGGGATTGACCGTCGCATTATAACGTCCCCACGGCTGAAATATCAACAAATAGTGGGATTGACCGTCACATTATAACGCCTCCCACGGCTGAAAGGACGAACATTTTTTAGTGGGACGGGGATTCGAACCCGCGACCCGCAGATTGCGAGTCGAGCTCCCTAACCACCTGTTCATGCCGGGTTGATAAATATACAAAACACGAGAAAACTAAAAGTCATACCAAGATATGAAAACTGAAACAAAAATAAGTCTGTAATGATAAAATATATCATGTAACTATTCGTTTTGTACTCCTACTGTTCACATTGTTCAACTGATGAGTATGTTATAGAGTTTGAGGTAAAAGACAGTACTATTCTGATACTGTGGAATTATAACTTCCAGGAGGTATATTTCCAATGGTTTTTGGTTGTTAATTTGATATAAAAAATATTTTACAGTTTATGACGCATAAAAATAAGGCCTAGTGGTTAGGACGATCTATTCGCATATCTGTAAAAATAAGGCCTAGTGGTTAGGGCGATCTACTCGCATATCTGTAAAAATAAGGCCTAATGGTTTGGGCGATCTACTCGCATATCTGTGGGTCGCCAGTTCGAATCACTTCCCCGAATATGCTCGCCCTTTATGCTGTGGGGTCGTCATAATGTGATGACCAATGCCACTGTTTACTAGTTTATAGTAGTCCAAGAGTTAGCAGTGGGTGATGTTAACTAGCTACCTTCCCTCTATTCTACAATTCCTAAATGAGGGACGTCCAGCGCAGATAGCCTTCGAGTAGCTTTGTGCGAAATTCGAGAATAACAAAAACAAACATTCAAAATAAAAATAAACACGAAAATCTTTTTCTTTAAGAAAACGCGAGACATTTTTTCTCCGTGTTTGTCAACACCTAGCTGGAAAACCGAATCAAATGTAAATGAATTGTTTGTAACAACAAACAAACAAACTTAATTAACTTTACACAAATCATACCAGTTTCAAATCATGTTCCACGTTCTACAGTTTCATGTTAAATCTTCTTGACATACTTGTACCAAAACATTTGAGACCCATGAGGAAGCAGATGTTGGTTACGGTATCCAATCGTTCGTACAAACGTTAACAAAAACATTTAACGCTTATTAACTCTGAGCAGAAAGACAATAACGTTTGTTTACTGAATTTAGTATTATTGGATTAAGTGGGATTTTATTTCGTTTTGATCTAATTACACGTACAATATATATTTAAAAAAAATTCATTTATACCTATTAATTCCGTCAGTCTCATCAGTTACTACTCGTGTTATAAGTAAAGGTACTTGTCAAAGCTACCTGATTGATGATGTTTCTTTTGCAATGTTGAATAAGTACTGCAAAGAAAACAGTTCTACAGGCGTTAAAGTCTTTTTGTTGTTGTTGCAACAACAACAAAAAGAGAGAATCATATCCTTTGAAGCTTGACGACAAACACTACGCCTCTTATCAAAAATACATAATGTGTAATATGGGAGTACTATAAAACCACTACAACAATTACGATAACGAGAAATTAACTGGTTATATTAGAATAAATATGAGGATGAGAAATACGTACTTTGTATGGGATATTTAGGTGGTCTATTATTCTCTCCAGCTAAAATGTCTTTAAAGATGGGAAATTGGAAATAAATGTGTACAAAAGTACTTCTGTAATTGCTTTTATGAAAACCTGAAACTTTTCCGTCTATTACGTCAGAGGTAAATTATTGGATAAACTTCGTGGTTTACATATGCTCAAATGGCACATAGCTACTTATGGGTTTAGTACATAC